ACTCGGCTCGAATCCAGCATCTGATGAACTCTTTCTTGTTTTTTCCCCTGCTACATATCAGATTTTGCCAACTATTTATCACGAGAAAGACAAGTAGGAATCATCAATAAGTTCATATCAATAAGCATCATATTTTATTTGCACATTTATTGAATGGAAATGTTTCTGATTCCCGCATGCAAATTCATCTTCAGATAGTGTCTTTATAGCAATGTGCGTGCGGGAGATCGCTCAGATTACATTGGGAAAACAGGCGACTGCTGCAAATTGTGCTTTAATGTTTAGCTGGTTAAATGTATGGTATGGAAACCTTATATACCTGCTAGATGAACCTGTCTCATACAGCTGCCATTGCAAGGCTCAGACACTTTGTAGAGAGGAATTTAACACAACTGCCTCTAGGAGTCGCCAATGGAAATAAAACAGACACGCACAAAAAATGTGCGTACGCCAGCCAGAAAGCTGCCGTGAAGCTGCGCACATTCCCACGTTCAGTTCATTGTTAGTAAATCCAAATGTGAGCGATTCTGAGCGTGAAACCTGGCGTACGCAAAGTTTTTGTGCGTACGCAGCGTTGATACATGAGGCCCCTGGTCTGGTGGTGGCACTAGTTTAGCTTAGCATAAATCTTTGAATGGGATTAGACAATTTGCTTTTTGCTTTAAAATGATTTTTCCAGCTGGTGTCAGGAGGATTTCTTACAAGTAAATATTCTTAAGACTAAAGAGATGACTATTGATTTTAATCGTAAGAGGAGACTGATTAAGGGTAAGCTAACTAGTATTAATGGAGTGGGAGTTGAGAGTGTTGATCAGTGTAGGTATTTGGGAACTGTTTTAGATAATAAATTGTCCTTTTCTGTTAATACTAATATGTTGTGTAAGAAGGGGCAACAACGACCATATTGTTTACAGAAATTAAGATCTTTTAATATAGACAAGTCGCTCATGTGCATATTTTACATTTCAAACATTCAGTCACTGTTATCTTTTTCTTTGCTTTGTTGATTCAATTCTCTAAGTGTGAAAAATAAGAGTTGTCTGGAGAAAACTGAACCTAGGAGGAAAAATAACAGGGAGAAAACAGATGACCATGGCTCAGTTATACCATAGTCAAGTTTTAAGTAAAGCTCAGAGTATTCTGTCAGATGAGTGCCATCCTATGCACCACGAGTGTTATCTTCTCCCTTCTGGCATTCGATACAGAACACCTATTAGTAAAACAAAAATCGGTTTAAACTTTCATTCATCCCCTCAGCTGTAAAGTTTTTAAATTTAGGGTAGAATTTGTATTGTATAATGTGCTTGTGTGTATTATGTGTGACATGCTTGTATACTGCAACCAAATTGCCTTCGGGAAATGAATAAAGACTGACTGACTGAATTTAACTTATTTTTAATAAAGCTAGAGTCTTCTGTAGGTACATTGTGTACTAAGAGTAATGGAATAGTAATTTTTTCTTAGCGGTTATCACTAAAACTAAATTCTAATTCTGGCCCTAATAATAAAGGAATTTTACTGACGAACCATGCCCGGACCAGCCACAATGATACTATAATTATAATTGATATTATAAATATTTTATTATGCATTGCTTGAATTAAAAAAAATAAATAAAAAAAAACACTTGAGAGAGCCTCTTAGAACCAAAGGGGACACAAGAGATGCGCTATTACATATGTCTCAAACTCAATCCCTGTAGGGCCGCAGCTCTGCACAGTTTTGCTCCAATCCTAATCAAACACAGCTGATGCAACGAATCAAGGTGTTGAGACTCTTGTGAACAACTTGATTATTTGGATCAGCTGTGTTTAATTAGGGTTGGAGCAAAACTGTGCAGAGCTGCGGCACTCCAGGAACTGAGTTTGAGACCCATGCTTTATTAAATAACTAAACAGATATAGTATTATTTGATGTATGCAACCAAGAAACCAACCTTTTCTATTCAGAGAATTACAGGTTGTAATAGTCCTTTATAAATGATTAATTAATCCAGGGGTCATCAATCTCGGTCCTGGAGCGCCGGTGTCCTTGCAGGGTTTTGCTCCAACTTGCTTCAACACACCTGCCTGGATGCTTCAAGTATACCTAGTTAGACCTTGCTTAGCTTGTTCAGGTGTGTTTAATTAGGATTGGAGCTAAGATCTGTAGGACACCGGCCCTCCAGGAACAAGTTTGGTGACCCCTGAATTAATCAAATACATAATCTAATGTTAGGAATCAAACTATATACTGAAAAAGAAGCATAATGCTCACTGCAAACTAAGCTGAGGGACTCATTTTCTATATAAACTATAAACATACAAACATATTTGTAAAATAAGCCTACATTTTTTGTTTTTAAGTGGCGTGTTCCTTTTAAGATTTTAAGTTAATAGTTGTCTTGTTATCGTCTCAATGTTAGGAGTGTCTAAGTCAGTGACTCTTCATAACAGTACTTCTTTGTTAAATTATTAACTTCTATCTATGCTCAGGGTTAACAGCATTTGGATTGTAATCTTTGTATGAATCCGAAAGCAATGTCTTGAAAGCAATAAGTGCCATGTGTAAAGTTGTTCAGCTGAAGTGGAACAGGTTGTTCTTGTTGATTAAGGTGTTGGCAAGGAATGCATTTTGTTGTAATCCAGAATGTGGTGCAGGTGTGATACTTATTTTGTAAAAGTAAACAGAAGAAACTGCAGGTAAATAACCTGTTTAAGTGGTTATAGATCAATGTATCTGCTTCTTTTGCCTTCGATATGAAAGAATCACATAAAGGCAAAATATAGCCATATTTTTTATAACATATTATGTAAAACCAATAACACTCTACCCAACTGCTGAGACTGGATTATATAATTTATTGCATAAACTGAAGTGCATTCACCAGCTGATAAAGTGAGCAAAACTGTTTACTACTGTGCACCCACTAGATATTTTCCAAAACATGAATGAAGAAGAAACTTTAAAGTTTAAAAACGAAGATCCCATTTTATAGTTCTTCTTATACCCATGAACTTATATGGTAACTACTAGATGTGTAAAAAGTATATACACAGTATGCTGCATGTACACATTGGTACATAGTAGCTTCATGTGTAATAGTGGCATAATTACTTGCATGTAACAACCTACTGAAAGGTATGTATAAGTACAAATGTGTAACAGGACACCTTTTTGCCAACCCCCCCACACCCCATTGGCTAAACTATTTATTTTTTTAAACATGTATATTCATGCAACTAACCCATTTTATATTCATTTGGTTTCTTTACCAAGTATTAACAAAAATAATAATAAAAAGTAAAGTTCTGGTATCAGATTCTTTCTTTAAAAACCACTTTAGTTTAAAGGTGCAGTGGGTTAGATTGACACCCAGTGGTTAAACTAGGTATTGGAGTCCAAAAAAATAAATACAAATCTCCTTCACTCAGAACCCTCCTTGTGTGACATGCTTGATTATCATAATGTGTCCTGACTATTTACAATAAAAGGAGTCTTTTCCATGTTAAAAGGCAACATTCACCTTAATTTCTATTTTAGAAATGGTTTCTATTTCTCGCAAAACACATTTGTTTTCTACATTTTTACTGCGCTTCTAAAAATGTTTAATGTGCTCCTAAAGTTTTCAGCTTAGGAGCGCATATGCCACTCCTGAAACAAAAAAAATAAATAAATAAGCGTCAAGCCCTGGAAATGGAGTGGGAAATGTAGTTATTCTTTTAGTTAGGTATTTGTTTTCTGCCCTGTATTAGAGTTAAATTTATTTTGTTTGCACTATTTTTTGTGGATAGTAAATGCAACAGTCTCATTCTTTCGGGCAGTGTGTGTGAAATTGAAACTTTGGACACTCTAACTTTAGCAATATTTTTTTTTCTTATGTTCCTGCTCTCAACTGTTTCTACAATTTGCTGGTAGTAAAAAATTTAATAACTGAAGTGACCTTTAGGGCCTACTTTTAGGCCCGTTTCCTGGATCGTTTGAGAAATGTGAGAGCGCTGAATCGGGCTCAAGCACGGTTCACTTGGCCGGCCCTGGCCCGGTTGGAAGAGGTGTGCCTGAGCCCGGTTCACTTGGGCTTTGGCGCGGTACGCTTGTGTGTGAGTGCAAAACGCGCCAAAGCCCAAAACTGAAAGCGAGACGTGACTTTTAAGGCACTGTTTCATATGGATTTATTAATAATTCTTACTGTTCAGTGAACGCAAACTGCCGTAGTTTATTAAAGACGCAAACCCCTCACTGCACGACAGCTGCACCTTCAACAGACCTCCTCATTCCTGCAGCACGAGAGCTTTATGATTGTTTATGAGCGTCAAAAGTGGCGGATCTGTTCGGCGAAATATCTGACTGCGTGTCACCGCATCCCTAAGGACTGTTTGGCGAAATATTTGACGACATATCAAACGACTGAAACGATATAACTAGAGAAATCTCCACTGTGCTGCTGAGTGAGAAAACGCTTCTCACTGAACAGCGCAGCAGCGATGACGTAAGCGTGCCGAAGCCTGTTTGTGGTGCGAGTGCGGGCCTTCGGGGGAGACGGGAGGGGGGGACAAGCGTGCTTTGGCCCAGTTCGAGGCAACTGTACCTAGTGTGAGTACGGCCTTAATTACTATTTTGCACTTAAAAAATTATATTTTTGTTTATTCAATTAAGATATTTTTCATACTTAATCTTCAATTCTTTTTTATGTATTCTTATGTAAAAGGTTCACATTTATGCAATCAATAGGTAATAAATTGGTCGTTTTGGTTTGTTCTCAGTTTGATCTAGCCATTCGTACATTCCACTCAAAGAAATTGGTAAAGTACTCCTGATTTGTGGTGAATTTTGTATGGGTAAGTACTGAAGGCTGCAATATCGGTATCGTATCGGAAGTTAAAACGTTGTATCGGGACATCACTAATTTCACTCAATAATCATTTCATTAGAGCATTAATCGATGTAAGAGATATTGTAAGAGATCATGCAAACTTTAAGTGTGTGGCTGATGTTATCAATTTGATTAATTTTAAAAATAGGTGGTGTCCGATGCTGCAGGACAAGGCATCACCATCACAGGCGACAAAACCTTTAACAACTGGAACTGGCCCAATGCTGTCATCTTTGCAGCCACAGTGATCACAACTATAGGTAAGAATCATGAAGAATAATCAAGACTTCAAGAAATACTTGCTGCCCATGTAACAAGATGTTGTTCAATTCTGCTTAACTGCAATAGTTTAGTAATTAAGGAGCCCCTATTATACATTAAAAAGTGTCATATTTTGGTTTTAAGAGTCTCCAACAACAGGCTGATATGCATGCAAGGTCAAAAAACAGTTTCATTGTCTTATAATATGCATTTATTTTTACCTAATTATCCCAACGACTCCCGAATGAATCGTTCAGCAATTCATTTGTTCCCAAACCCCTCCTTAGGATTGGACTGATGACAGTCTGTTGCGATTGGTCGCAAGGTTATTATAGTTAACGAAAACGAATGAAAAAACAAAGTAAAATGTAAAATAATTGTCGTTAACTGAAATAAAAATAAAAAGGAGTTTTTTAAAAAAGTACAACTAACTGAAACTGTATTGTTTACATACAAAACTAACTGAAACAAATAAAAAATATAGCAAAAACCTCCTTTGTTTTTGTATTTGTGAATGTATTTAAAATATAATCTTACTGTAAGCCGCTTAGAAGTAAATATAATTCGCGCTGCAGGTGTTTGACCCGTACGGCACCTCAGAGTCTGTCATCCTGCTGCCATTGGCCAGATCGAGCAGGTTCTCTTCCAGTTAGCCTCGCTGTTCCTCCTGCGACAAAAACATTGAGTGGACATAACAGCAGCACGGTGACCGCATTAAATAGACACTTTAAACTATTATTTTTGTGCACACATTTGTGCCCAATAATGGGTTTTATTCCTGTATCGCGATCGCGAACGAATCCTTTAACCAGATCTTCTAAGTGAACTGGTTGAACTAGTTTACCAAATCGAACTGAATCATTTGAAACGATTGCTGACTACATAATATTGAGTCCGAACAACCGCATTAAAAATCTGAACTTCCTATCACTACTGTGTGTTTAGCCTCAGAGCAGCCTTGCACAGATGTACACGGGCTGCTATCCTGTGGGCTGTTGTATTTGAATGAGGATGATTAGGTGGTTGCGGTAGATGAAAGTGTTCATGTGTTCTCTGAATACATGTTTCAAAAAATGTATAACCGAGTTTTTATTATACATTATTTATCCTTTTGATTTTGAATCTTGCACCTAACAAATATCCTCATTTAGAAAAAAAATAAATAAATAAAACCTACTGAAGCTAATAAAACCCAAACTAAAACTAAGTCATTTCAAAATAAAGAAACTAATAAAAACTAGTAAATCTGCCTCTTAAACTAATTAAAAGTAACTGAATTTGAAAACAAAAAGTCAAAACGAAATCGAAACTAAAACTAATGAAAAATCCAAAACTATTATAACCTTAATTGGTCGACAACGTTCAACGTGAGACAGAGTGAAATGCCCACCACGGCTTATCAACAATATTGAAGTAGTCAGAATGCATAGTGTTTGTGTGAGCATACCTTCCAACATTCCTGTTTTTCCCAGGAGTTTCCCGTATTTTAAACCCATCTCCCACCACCCTCCCGTTTTGAAAACTCCCATAATTTCAACCATCATCTTTGGGTAGTGAAAATAACACTAACTTTCCCCTCACACTTCCAATAATATCCAGCTGAGCACAGCGTCTTTACGACTTGATTCAACCAGGACCTGCTACAGTGTTTGTCTTTCTCTTTTTCTTTGCTACTGTTTGTGGGCGGGGTCGCAGGTTTTAATTTTCCCGGGTTTGTGCGGGCAACAATTGAGCAATGCTTAAGTTTCGTATAGACATCACGCCGAAACGGCTTAAGACTCGTTATTAAGATGATTCATTTGAAGCACTATGGGTCGACTATTATAAATGAATCAATAGTTTTAAACACTGTGCACTTTCAAATTTAAGCCTTAGCTGGATATTTCACTTCACTTAGAGCTGTTACACACTACATGAAAGGTCATTTTCAAAAACCCATAATTAGGGCTCTTTAAACTAAACCGAAACTATAATTTCTGTATATAAATTGGTTGACATTTTTCTGAAACTACACCAGCATTGTATTACAACTCTGCTCCATGCCTGATTTGCTGGAAATTCCACAATCTGAAATATTGCTTTGGCTTTTATTCTCTTTTCTTAATCTATGTTAACTGCTTTGACTCAACCTACATTGTAAAAGCACCATACCAATAAACATGGTTTAAAGATGGCTTGACTTACTGTTAGGTGAATCAGTTTCCATGAAAAATAATTGTTTATTTCTACAGGTTATGGAAATATTGCTCCAAAAACTCCTTCAGGGAGGGTTTTCTGTATATTTTATGGTCTCTTTGGAGTGCCACTGTGTTTCACTTGGATCAGTGAACTTGGAAAGTTTTTTGGTGGAAGAGCTAAACACCTCGGATGGTATCTTACAAAGAAAGGAGTAACATTGGTGAGGATTAAAACTGCATTTTGCAGATCTTTTAATAGTATTGTTTATAATTCACTAATTTGCTTTTATTTTCTTGTTAAAGCGGAAAACGCAGCTCACCTGTACAGCTGTCTTTCTGTTATGGGGTGTGCTGATCCATTTGGTGATTCCTCCATTTGTTTTCATGACTCAAGAAGGCTGGACCTATATCGAGGGCTTGTATTTTTCTTTCGTCACTTTGACAACTATTGGTTTTGGTGATCTTGTAGCAGGTGGGTGTATTTAAAATATTTAAGCTGCTTGCCATCATGCATCACATTTACAATTAAGCAGATGACATACGGGGTTGGACAATGAAACTGAAACACTGGTCAATGTAGTGTTGGAGGTTTCATGGCTAAATTTGACCAGCTTGGTGGCCAATATTCATTAATTGCACATTCTACCAGTAAAGCTACGGTCACACTAGAGTTTGTGTGTGCGAAATGAGGTATATGCCGAAGCATGCTAATAGGACTTTTAATTTGCCAGTAACCTGGGTTAAGCGCTTCCGGCGAATTGAATGCCAATGCAAAATGCGGTGCGTTTAAGGTCTGTTTTCTTTAAAAATCAGCGATCTCCACTAGCCGAGTGATATCTGATTTAAAGTGGGTCTCAGATTGTACAAGAAGCACTGCATTAAATTAGGTTTCCCCCGCCATATCTTTATAATATGAGCATTTATTTTACCCCAGTATAATCAAAGGAGCTTCTCCGTTAGCCTGCTGATTCTGATGGGCGCGTGCGAATAAACAGCTTTTTGTCTCGTTTTACGCTTGAGCAACCAAATAAATGCTAAAGTTTATTTAACCGAATGTATTTTAATGACATTAAAACATCAATGCTGTATAAGGAAGCGTATAAAATGGAAAAAAGTTCACAATAACAAGTCACCTGAAGTGTATCAGGATGGGCACAGCACTAGCTCGGCATATACCCTATTCTGTCATACGGTGCTGCAAAAAGGGGTGGGATTAAACAAGATGATTAGACATTTAAAAAAGCTAGCAATTCCTCCATGTTTTAAATTTCTATCCAGAGAGGTCAGGTTTTTTTTCCTCGATTGGTCTCACGCAGTCAAGTGATGCGATTTTGCAGGTCAAAGATCACCAAGCTTGAACTTTGCAATGCAACTGACTGCTAATCTTGACGCATGACCCTGCGTTTCTGGTCTGATGCATTCGCGTGCGTATGAATGGAAGTCTATGGGGAGAAAAGTCCAGTGTGACCACAGCTTAATGCCACAGTCACACAAGAGTTTGAGCTTGAGAAATTCTGTCACACGGCGCTGCGAAAAGGGGCGGGATTAAACAAGATGATAAGACATTTAAAAAAGCTAGCGATTTTATTAGGGTGTATCCATATAAATGGCCCACCCTGTATATCCATTTTCCATGAAATAGCCATAATTTGCTGATTTGGCAATAAATAAATCATAAATATATTTTTTTTAAATTTCTGTTTTATTGCAAAAGGCAAGTTTCCTTAAAAAATAAAATATGAATATATATTTTTGCTAAACTAAATTTTATTGTTAAAGTGTAAAATATCCGACATCTCTTGCAACTAAAGTGTTACGTAAACATCAGCAAATTTATTATATACTATTTAATTTTTAATTATTGACCTTAGTTGTGCTGGTGTTTTATTCTGCAACCCCTACAAATAAAGGTTTTAGCCAAAGGAAATTTTGTTTTGCTCAACGTTATAGTTCTTTTAAAAATGAAAGTACTATTGCTAAGGTGGTAGGTCAGGAGTTAGGACAAATCTAAAGCCTCCTTTCCAGTGCACAAGACAAACGACAAGCGACAGACCAGAAGTCATTCATTTGCAATGGAGAGTAGTTCGGGAGCTGCTTGGAGTTCCGATCATCTCCGTATGCGGAAAAAAATCGGAGCCGAATTGAGTTGTGGATCCGTTGAAATATTTGAACTTCTGCGACTAGACCGTATGCAACCGGCCGACCGGATGTGATGTATTCCAGTGTTATCCAAGCAGGTCCGTGCGTGCGAGATGAGAAATAGGAGTTTATTTGGTTATTTTTTGAATCGGATCACAAACTGTGGAGTGGGAAAGGGGGCGGGGTGGAGCGACAACGCGGGGAAGCCTTCACAATCCAAAAGCGGCGAGAGCGTCAAAGTAGCCAGAAGTCAATCATTTTTAACGAGAACCTGCGGCGAGGAACAGCGCGGCGAGTCTTATCCTGTGTGGGCGTCGAGGAGAGTTGAAATCAAGTCAACTTAATGGTATGAGCTATGACGCGGTTCGGCGGCAAGCAATCAGAATGAAGTAGTCCACCGCTTGAGAGGAGTTCAGAGAACACAGACCTGTGAACTTTGGTTCTGATCACAGTTGTTCCCAAGAGTTTGATTATTGCGGTTACCGGATTTGCAATTATTGAAAATCGCGACGACGTGGAGCCCCCTAATCACTCGGGCCCCCCCGCGGTGCGTGCCCTGCAGGCCCGTCTGCTACGCCACTGTTTCTAGTATTCATTCATTCCACCATGGTGAACACACAGAAAATAAAGACTCTTGCTTTTGCACTCCTTTACTTCGGACACTGCCAGGACAGCTTCTCTCCCATGGTGCAATTCGGTGCAACTGCCACAAGGGGGCGTATTCCGACAGTCGTGTCCAAATGTCATGTGCAGTGAAAAGGCGGCTTAAGGGCCCAGGCACTTTTGTGGCCCCCAGAGATACTATTAGTGTATGCCTGTACACAGTTTTCTCAATATTTGTTTTGTTTTATTTTAGGTGTTGACCCAAATGCTGAATATCCTACTCTCTATCGCTACTTTGTTGAGGTGTGGATTTATCTTGGTCTGGCATGGCTGTCTTTGTTTTTCAATTGGAAGGTGCGTATGGTTGTGGAGGCTCACAAAGCTCTGAAGAAGCACCGTAAAAGGCGTAGGCTTTCACTGGATGAGTTACAGCTCAAGGAAAGTCATAAGACACTACACCTTCCCCCAACTCCCAATGATGTCAACATCTTCAGCTTCCTGTCCAAGAAAAAGGAAGGTTACAATGACTTAATTAAGCAAATAGGTGCTGACAAAGGAGAAAATCAGTGTGTCAGCACCATGAATAGTAGAAAGAACGCAGCCGCAAAGCGCTCAAAAAGCTGCAGCGATGCTCTCTCTATAAATGGAAATACTATTGTTAGTCTAGACGGCTCACCTCGACTGAAGCGCCATTATAGCTTCAGTGATAGAGTTGCTGTAGCACTCTCAAAATCCAAGGGCTACCTTTTTAGCCAAGAGGAATGTCTTCTCATGACTGAGAAGCTAGAGGAAGGAGATACTGACTCGCAGTGCATGGGAATGTCTGAGAATCAGTTGGACAAGGAGGCAGGAGAGAGTCATAAAGCTCTTATATCTGAAGGGTGCAGAAATAGTCAGATCACATGGGACTCCAAAGGTCACCAGACCAACATGTTTCCTAATGCTAACATAACCTTCATTGATGAGGATAATTTTGTAAACAATAACCGGGAGGATGAAAATGACTTTATGCCTAGCTTCAAATCAGATGAGCCAGATTTCAGAAAGGAAGAGGACTCAGAATCTGAAACCTCTGTATTCACCAGATGTGGCTCAGACCATGGACAATCCTATGAGCGGCTGGTGGAAGAGTATTCCAAAGAGGACAACACTGACATTTAATTGAAATTACTCTGAACCATTGTAAAGTATTGTAGAAAACTATTTTATAAAGCATGTATTAAGTCTCAAAAATCTAAAATTGTTTTTCCACAAATTAAAAGGCTTCAGTGTTGAGCTTTTTAACAAGATGTGAACTAAGTATTTTTCTCAACAATGTGTCTATGAAGTTTTTGGTCAGCAAACCCATAAGATGATTTATTATACCCTGTGGAAAATGTAAATTTTTGGGTCAGAGGTAATTGTAGCTCTAATGAATGGAGGATGATCAGACACTGTTAATTCAATGGCAACCCCCCTGAATCCCACAAATGAACAGAACACCAGTTTCTGTAATCTAAGAACCCACAGGATTGAAAGCCAAGACAGAAGTTACCAAATCGGGTGGTACGGTATGGTTTTGATCGTTGTGCTTTTATGGCCGTTTCCACTGTCAAAATGCGTACCGAACCATACTACTTTTCGGCACCCTTTCGAAAGGGTACCAAACACGAGAAAGGGTACCAAAAGGTGGAGCTAAAAGTGCAGCTGAACGCTAATTTGGTTACAGAGATACGTCCCGAGCTTGTGTGGAGCTAGCCAGAATGAAAACAAAGGAACCGCCATCATGTTTTAATACACAGCCGAGTGATTACAGCGTAATTATATATACATATAACGAGCCATGGTCGACCCGGGCTCAAACAAACCTTGTTGTCGTCTTGATGAACAGCCACAAACCCAAAAAGAAGAGCAGATTTACCCTGTGCCCCTTAGTTTTTTATGAACTTGTCTGAATCGCAAACGGTTTCGCTGTCTTGCTTGCTCTCGCTACGTGTCTATATTTGAATTAACAAACTTCTTGAGCTGATGATAATAACGTGCGCTTGATTATTGACGTGCTTTTGAAACATGATTTGTATATTTATTTAATATAAATACAGACGTTACAGTAGCCTATTTTGCACTGTCATTGATCTGCAGTTATAATGAAATCATGTTCATAGAAAAGTTAGTAATAAACATTTATACATAAGTGCTTGTGTGCAAAGCATCTGTTTTGTGAGAAGTGCTTCTCATATGATATGTGAAAGACCTGTACAGCTTTACTGTAGACATTTCCTCGAGCGAAAATGACGTCAACTGAAACTTTTTTTTGTCATACACCACGACCACCAAAAGGGTACCCTTGGTAGTGGAAATGCAAGCCTGATAAAGGTGACCCGTACCAACCCGAACCGTACCGTACCAGTCAGTGGAAACGAGCCTTATGAACCCACAGGATTAAAAACCAAGGCAGAAGTTACCAAGGCACCCACTCAATTTATGACCGTAAGGGCTCACAGAGTAAAGCAACATTCCTGAAATAGAAATAAATATTCCTGAAATTCCTTTTCTACATGGATGCCCATTCACACGTGACTGTACCCACATAGCAAAATTTCTCTGGCCCAGCTCTGGCCCACACAATCAGGTTTTGCTTGGCCCACATGCCGCAGTGAATTACGGTACATGACTGGACCAAATCTGGCTTCCAGACAAGGGCCAAACACGGACCATATCTGGGCCAAGTCTCAGCCAAGTTAATAACTCATAACTGGGCCTGAACTGGGCCAGATAGGTTGGTGTGTCACGATTGCAATGAAATTGATAAACCCATGGAGTGATGCGCTTTAGGCACACTATGGGCACGCTTTTTCTCAAAGTGACCTGATTGGTAGAATTTTTTTTCTTTACTCAAAAATGATTTTAGTGTATTTTAAATGTGGGTCAAGACTTGCCAAACTCACATGGCCCACTTATCAAATTTTTAAATCTGGGCCAAATACTATGTTTTTCATCTGGCCCGAATCTTGTGTGCCGCCTTAAAGACGGTACCACCTTTGCCAAACCCGGGCCATGTTTGGCCCACATGCTGTATGCCAGTGCCGGATGAATGCCTGCTGTTCCAGCTTTATGCCAAATCTGGACCAGAATTCTTTGCTACTAGGGTATGCAATGTTTTCATTTAATACTTTAACATGGACACCAATACCAATAAGATTTTAATACAATTAACACAATACCCTGATTTTAGGAGTTTACTTTGTAAACCGAGATTTTGATGACCTTAATCTGACTAAAGTCATAATCGTAGTACAGCGGTCCCTCATTAATCATGAGGGTTACATTCTAAAAGTAAACTGCAATAGGCGAAATCGGCAAAGTAGTCAGCTTTATTTTTTTACAATTGTGATATATATTTTTAAAGCTGTAAGGCTACGTTTACACTGCGAGCCTTATTTTTTCTCAATCGCATTTTTTTGCATAGCTGTTCACACTGTTATAAATGTGGCCAATATCAGATTTGTAGTGTGAACAGATCATCGTCCTAAACTGACCCGCATGCACAAAAGTATAGTTACGGACTGCACAAAATGTCTAATTATGCACTCAGTGTGTATACTGTTTGAAGCACGTTGTCAGATTATACTTAATATGCTGATTGTCCTTTTCACAGATAACCGTGGTGTATTTCATGAACTGTAAAGGGTTGTTCTGCTACTACTAATGTGTATTTTTGCATTTGGAATCTAAAATAAGTCAGTTGTGATTGAAAACACTGATTATTTGTGATTTATGACAACCGTGGTGCACGTTTGTTCAAAGTCCCTTTAAGGCAAGTCATTTCACTTAGCGGCCATCTTTGAAACGCCTCTCTGGCAGTATGCTCGGGCGTTCTGTCTGATTGGGGAAACATCAAATTCTCCAAATACCCTGCTTGGATATTCAGATATGCTCCTGCCCTTTTTTTCTCTGAGAGCAAAGTCCATCCTTAAAATGAAAGTGCCTCTCCTTTGCTCATGGATCATTCATCCGCAACACCCTTCTACGGTTTCGCGATCAACCCGTGCCCCAATCGTTAACCAGATTGTTATCAGGCACCAGTTTTGTCTTCAAAAAAATTTTTTTTTAACATTAACAACTTTCTGTGGTAAAGTAATTGCCCTGTGTGCCATTCTACTATGCTGCTGAGTAGATGATGTCTGCAGCAAAGAATGATGACGCATGTCGCTCGAAGATTTAAAGATCACTTGAAATCTTATACAAGCGTTCACACAGTGGTCGCATTGCAAAACATCAGGGGCCTCATGTACGAAGACTTGCGTGGAAATCTTACTAAAACATTGCGTACGCACAAAGCTGTAAATGTGCGTACGCAGAAAAAAATTCAGATGTATGAAACACTGCGTACGCCGAGTCTCACGCATATTCTTTTGTACATCCGAATGAACGCGAAACTAAGCGCAACATGCACGAGCACAAAACCCCTCCCTGCCTCCTCCCCCGTATGAATATGCTAATGACTATGCTAATGGCAAAACCCCACGAAAAAGCAATGGCAAAAGCAAGCAAGAAGAGAAACTTTGAACAGAATGTGAATGTGAGGTGCTGCTTTCGGAGGTAGACCGGAGAAAAGCGGTGTTATTTGCAAGTTTGTTCTCCGGAATTAACAACAAAAGAAAAAAATAGAGTGGGAGAGTTTAGCTGATGCGGTTTACACAGTTGGGTCTGAACATCCAACTGAGTGAATTAAAAAAGAAATAGTGTGGTTTATAGGTGTAAAATGTTGCAATTCCCTTAAAAGACCCAGTGGCGCAGCTTGTAAGACGCATGGCAACATGTTTTGACACGTTCGAACATGAACTCGGTTCGAATCCAGCGTCTGATGAACTCTTTCTTCTTTTTTCCACCGCTACATATCAGATTTTGCCAACTATTTATCACGAGAAAGACAAGTAGGAATCATTAATAAGTTTGTGCATCTTATTTTATTTGCACATTTATTGAATGGAAATGTTTCTGATTCACGCATGCAAATTGATCTTCAGATAGTGTCTTTATAGCAATGTGCGTGCAGTAGATAGCTCAGATTACATTGGGAAAACAGGCGACTGCTGCAAATTGCGCTTTAATATTTAGCTGGTCAACTGTATGGTATGGAAACCTTATATACCTACTAGATAAACCTGTCTCATACAGCTGCCATTGCAAGGCTCAGACACTTTGTAGAGAGGAATTTAACACAACTGCCTCTAAGAGTCGCCAATGGAAATAAAACAGACCCGCACAAAAAATGTAAATCCAAACATGAGACATTCTGAGCGTAAAACCTGGCGTACGCAAAGTTTTTGTGCGTACGCAGCGTTGATACATGATGCCCCAGATCTGTGTCTTATTTAATACTACATATGAAAGTGGCACAATTCTGAACTAAAAAAGTCAGATTCTATGCGGTTTGGCCTGTTCACATGAGGGGGGGGGGAAATCAGATTCGGGCCGCATTTGTCTGCAGTGTGAACATAGCTGAAAACCCCTCACTACACTATTTATACACTTTTCTCAGTCAGGCTTTAACGTTTTCACACTTTCGCTCTTGTTTAAACTCTTAAAGTTCAAACTTTTGTAGCAAAATCAGTCCAGTATTATAGATGAAACCAAAGATCAAAACCTGTTGTCAGTAGGGATGGGAAGAATAACCGATATGTATCGATACGCGGTCATGCGCGTGCACGATGCGAGTGCATCGGTAGAGCATCAGAGGATGAATGAAATTTTGGAAGCAAATCGAGATGCACCGGTTTTTGCGAGATGCATCGGTTTTTCCAAGATACAACTTATATTTTTAACATAGAATGTATTTTTTATTTATTAACAAGTGTTGTCAACCTGTTTTTGGCGCATAATTTAATCGACCTACATAAAGTAGCAACGAACTTGCGGATGTGTACACAACGGATGTGTACACAACTCAGTGTATCAGGTGTGCGGATGAAGCTAGTGGTGCGCCCTCAGAAAGTGCCCTCAGAAAGCGCGAGAAGCAAAACAAAGATTTTATTCCCCACTGAGTTTTAAATCTAAAGTATGGCAACATTATGGATTTTGCAAAAAGGATGGACGACTTGACAGGACAGATGCAATTTGCAAAATGTGCCGCGCATCTGTAAAATACACGGGCAGTACGACTAATCTGATATCTCACTTGAAGCGGCGACACGGTGTTGTTGTGGAAGCATCTTCCAGTGTTCCTGCATCCCCGGCTTCCTGCTCTGCTTCAACTGTAGCTACAGTACCAGCTCCAAAAGTGATGAGAAAAGCA